CCCACTGCAAACATCTTTGCCATTGAGCCAGCCAAGAGGGCTGGGAAATACAGCTCTCTTGTGTGAAGTGCTCTGTTCCATCTGCTGTTTTACCTGTCTTTCCCTTTTTCTTCTCCAGTGGCTACAGCAGGACAGACATCCACATAGAAGGCTCACAGATCAACTCTCTTTTGCTGAGTAATTCCAACAATTGGATCACCTCAAACTTCGTAGGGGAGGTGGGGGGGGGAGATGGGACAAAAAGCTATATTAAATGAATTACCAGTAAAATGTAGGAAAATGACAGAGTCTGAGATGCAAAGATCTCTTCTGCAGGAGACTGGATCATAACCTCGCTGTGTAGGGTTATCTGATTTAATAAAGTGAACACAAGTGTAACAATGCTTCACAGAGAGCAGACTAAATCCAATCTGGTTGGGACTGGACACATGCAGTTCTGGGCAGGGGGAAAACCACATTCCTCAGAAATCTTATGGACCAGATTTAACATTTACTACACCCAGCAGCATCAGCATTCACATCTTCTGAATGGATTTGAGTGGAAGAAGAGAAACAGACTAAAATTGAAGGAATTACAAGCAGAGCATAGCAAATCTTCGTAAGCCTCAAATACATCAAAATGTTCAAGCATTTCCCACACTTTCCTTCCTAAGGAGAAAGATAATCATCAGCCCATAGGAAGGGATAATGAAGATAAGCAACAGAAGAACACTACTCAGGCACATCAGTGCCCAAATGAATGACTTCAGAGAACTAAGATCTGCTAGAAATAGGACCAAAATGCACCAGGTCAGCCCTAATTACAGAGAACAGCTAATGACTCAAGCAAATCCTCTTGTGGGTATGGTAGAATACAGGTAATAAAGCCCCAGCAGCTTATTTTTGTAGTGAGAGCACAGATAATACATAGTTGCTCTATAACACTTTCTGTCAGAAACCTAACAGTGTGAAGAATTACCAAGAGAAGTTCAACAGCATTTTTTCATAGACATCAGGGATATAAATAATTGTACCATACAAATTGGACATCCAGGAATGCACAGGGCATCACAGTTTTTCCAAAGACAAACAAATTTACTACGTATAAAGATGCTGGGTTTATATAATTTCTTATATAAATATATAAAATTTGTGTTTATATAGTTTCTTAAAATCAAAACAGTCAAAGTAGTCATTACCTTTTTTTTTTTTGTTTGTTTGGTTGGTTTTTTTTTTTTTTAATAAAGAGAGAAGAAAAACCTGACTCTGGGGGAAAGAAAACCCAAAATAGCAGATGAATGTATTAGCAGAAATCCAAATTTTCCTTGATATATCTATCTTGAGCTACTCATATAAAAACTGAATCGATTGTTTAAGATGTGCAGTTGCTTCTAGTCTACAGAGAAGTGTGCAAATAGAAGCAAAGCTTCTCAGATTTCAGTTGAAACATCAAAAAGCCCTCAACCTGGGAAGGTATCCCTGTCTAAACTCAGAGGGAAAAGAGGCATGGACTCCCAGGCCCTGAGATACACATTCAACATCAAAGCCTGTGTTTGAAGCATTCACAGCTTTTCTGAGAAGAGGAAATCTATGGGAAATGGATGAATGCTCACCTGCACACCTGGTGCAGAAAGATGCAGGTCAGGTTTATGGTACAGCACTCCCTCAGTTCACTTCAAAGCTTCATCCTCCCCTGATTGTGATGGCTGTAACCAGGGACAGAACCCCAAACTGTACAGTGTAAGTCATGCTCAGAAATACAAAAAATGTTATGAAAGGCAAGAGTTTCAAGGATAATGTGGACTGTCAAAGAGCATTGTGACTGTGGGAAAAAATACAAGAGAGATCACCCCAAGGTTTTCTGTCCTACATCAGTCAGGCTTCTTGTGACCCTTTGTGATTTGGAAGGGTGGCTGTTCCATGACATGCCAAGGTCAACCTACAGTGCCACACGAATATCTGCTCTGGCATCCACGAGGCTGCTTCACAGAAATCCCATCACACGAAGGGTCTTCTCACTGTCATCAGCTCAGCTGAGGGAGTTTTAAATCCAGCCAAGATTGCCCTCCCAGCATTCAAGTATATGTCTCTAATCAGCTCTTAAATCCATTATGAGTTTTTGATCTAGAGGCTGCATGACCTTTTCTAGGACTTTGATACAAATAACTGCTGAGCCTCTGAGCTATGTCAAGATAAATTCAAAATGTCCTCTTCATGTCCAGTACTTCTTGGATTCAGTAGGTTAGGGACAGAGGCTGGGCAAAACTGTTTCTTTGTCATTACATTTTCTGCAATTATTTTTAAACTCCTTGGGAATTCGTAATGCCATAGGCAAACATATAGTAGGGTCAGAGATATTTCAGAAATCCTCACATGTGAGAAAATCAAGGTCCCTGATTATTCTACCTTAAAATAAGATGTTGCAAACAGTTTGAAGTGGAAGCATGAAAAGAACAGCTGTGAAAACAAAGAAAATTTGCACTCTGTTTATGTATCTTAATGACTGCAGGAAAACAAATTTTAGAGCAAAATCCTGGAGCACAAACCCAGCTCCAGACTGGCTCGAAAAAATTCCTGGATGTTTACAACCCAGCAGCGAGAAGTGCTTCTTTTCATTGATTTACATCACTATAAGCAAGTGAGGAAAGCTGGCAGTTTTCAGTTTGTCAGCTAATCCTTTTCCACATTTCAAAATTCAACCAAGTCAAGCAGCCATGCTCTTTGAGTCTGAACATCAACTATATGTGAGAAACATTGCCCAAGTAGAGCCTCTGTAAACCAGACTGTCATTTGGTTCTTGTCCCTCCTAGCAAGTTTACTGCATCTGCATGACACCAATTTCCATGGAGCCATGTGAAGCAACTTTCCTGATTTTGAAATCTCCTTCAAGAGTTCCCTCTCACAGGCAGAGAAGATGCAGAGTTTGCACTGACAGACAGCAAACAACAGCAAGAAGCAAGAAGAAAGCACCTTTTTCACTCTGAGGATGGTCAGACATAACAGATGCCCAGAAGGGCTGTAGTTTCCAGCCAGCTGAATTTTGAAAATCAAGGCCCTGAGCAACCTGACCTAATAGGAGCTGTTTCAAGTGGGAGTTTGGACAAGACAAGAGTTTGTACGAGTTTCTTGGCAGATTTGTGGCAGTTTTTTCCAACCAGGATTATTCCATGATTCTAAGAAGCATGCTTCTGTCACTTTCCCCTTGCTGCTCCTGGACTGTGCTCTCTTACTAAGGTCAGCCATGGAGACCAGGCTGACCTTAACAAGCATCTTTGAATGGAAATTAGAACCATCCAGCTACCAGGTCTGTTAATAAACTTTTTTTTCTTTGGTGTTGCATAGCATCACTACTTCCAAATAGTTCTCTTTCAACCTGTGGACTTTGTCATAACCCACAAAAACCTGTAAGGAAGAACATTGGATAACTTTTAGGATCAAGTATCAGTACTACCACCGAAAAGAAAACTAGATACGGATCCTACCGTCTTTTGTAGTAAAGTCACAAAGTTTTGTGGAAGTCACCACAAAATCTCATGGACTAATGAACTCATGCTCTGATCTGTGGCTCATCTGTGACCCTACAACCAAATTCTAGTTAAAAATTTGTTTTTACTTCTCATAGGGATATAGATCCAAACTTACAACACACACAACTGTCAGAAAAGCTGATTAGAGGAGAGAAAATAATTTAAAAGAACGAGCTGCAGTAGGGTATACCCAGGTACAATTGGGCAGGACTTTTCATGTATTTGACCAGCTTCTCTGTGGATTTCTGGGCTTCTCTATCCTCTTTTCCTGTCTCTTAAAGTAAATGTTCTGCAGAGGGGTAAGTGATCTACATTTAAACATCTGCTAGCTAATCCAGATCTTTCTATATGATGTAACAACATCTAGGGGTTTTTAAATGGCAGAAAAGAACAAGTGTTCTCACAGAGCCAGTCTTTAATTTTCAGTTTTCTATCCTGCAGGCTACCTGACTCTTAAGTCTTCTGCCAGTGGAGAATAAGCCAGTTTTCATCTGCAATCTGCACATTCTGCCTGGAGAAAAAGCACCAGCCAACACCCTGCCTGGCCAAGGGAAAGCAGGGACACAGTCTTCTGCTGACATGTTTCTTTTCCCAAGGGTGATTGATTGGTACTATCCAGAATTGTGTATATTGATGGTCTCCTAGGGGGAAAAGCAAGATGAGCCCACTAACTGCTCCAAATCTGCAGCCTTTATTTTCTTCAGGTTTGAAGAGCTTTCTCTGAATCACTTCCCTCTAGTTGGGACATGCCACTAATTACCTCCTGCCCTTCTCTCTCTCCTCCTTCAGACTGGTGCAGCTCAGCAGCACAGACACAGGGTGTGTAATATTTCCAGAGCACTGAGGGAAGTCTGTTGGAGGCTGATGCCTCAGGAAGTGTTGCATACAATACGACTCAGACAAGCAGCAAAGCTTGTCATCTGGTATGGAAAGGAGGAATAGGAAAACTGGTATAGCACACATTAACTATCTCCTTATCTCTCAGACATAAGCAAATCATCCCAGTTCCACATGGCAAGGGTGTCAGTCAGACATTCTGGGAAGAGATGGAAAGATTGTAGAGGGACTGGACACCCCCATCACTTTGGGAAATAAATATTCCCTCTGCATTACCTTTCTCCTGGTCTTTTATATAGCTAACATGCTTTTTTTGTACCCTTTGTTTTTTAATTAGGCCTTTTTATTTCTTCTACTCCAGGTTTTAGCTCAACCACTCTTCAGCAGAATGGAACAGCTACAAACACAATAAGCAGATGCCACTGGAGCAAATGAAAACACATTCCTTGCCCTGAGGCCCAGCGTGCTGTTCTCTGTCAATGCTTCTCATACTGCGAGTCTCTGTACCAGAGAAAGAACACATATAATCAACGATATCTCTTTATTTTCCAGAGCTAAGAAAAAAAAATAAAAGAAAAATTAAAACTGAAGAAAGCTAAAACAACCTTTCTGAAATTTTTGTTGAAAACCAAAATTAATCAAGACAGCACCACTTACCACAATTTCCCCCCCGAAGAGAGCAAGTTTACATTCACCACATTTCCTCACAAATGGCTTGAAAATATGCCCTGTAAAATAAAGAGAAGGAGAAAAATAATAAGTGACTGGAACACCACAAATTATATGACACTTTCTTCTCTCTCTACTAACATTTATCACCAACTTCCACCATTTTTCCTGGTTTAGGGAAGGAGGCAATTAGATCTGAACCTTCACAACTAATTATTGAATTCCACTAGTATTATGCAAAATATTAAAATAATTGCAGGACTCCCTCAGACTGCTCAGACACATCACTGTCACCGACATGATGGCTATTCAGACTTCAGGGAGACAAGGTCAACAACAAGAAACGCACAGCAGCACACAGCAAGTGTGCCAATTATTTCAGATCCAACCCTAAAAAAATTGGTCAATCCAGTATCTCTTAAGTCATTTTGTTTTAACAAACTCATTTTGGAATTGGATGCACGTAGGTTCATGACAGCCCCTTGTTTGAAAACTACACAAAGGGAAAAAAGGGGTTGTGCCACACTTCATTTTTAGACTGTATTAATTACTTGGCATTCTCTAGGAGAACAAAGAGGGAGAAGGAGGAAGCCAATACAATATCCAGCTTGACACACACTAGGGCCCGTTTGAAGAAGATGGAGAGCAAAAGTGACAAATGCCATCATTTTGCCGACCCTGAGTAAATTTCAAATGACACCTAAGCTTCATTTTCCCTTAAGGCGAAATCTTTGAAAGAATAACTCATGAAGCACAGACTAACAATGATGTTAAAACGTTTAGTTTGTAAACTCCTAGAAGAGGGAGGAGGCAAGGATTCTGCTGGTGCTCAGGGTTGGGAGGGGTAACTGTGCAGCACATGGAGAAGAACATCCCTTTCAGTGCCCAGGTGAAGCCACACCAGTGAAGCCAGACTAAATCTGAACCGCTTCTAAGTGCCATTCTCCCCCAAGTACATGGCTGAACTTTTCACCAGAGAGGTATCTGTGAAATTACTGCTGGATGAGTAACTTCACAGCTATACACAGATGACTTGGAGCCTTGCACTACTGATCATGAAAACCAGCCTCAGCTGCAGAAACAGCAACTTCTGTGCCAGCACCTCTCCTGAAAGACGCTGTAGGCATAAACAGGAAACAAAAGGGGAATGGCTTCTTAAATCAAGTTATTTTTACTGGTCATCATTACATAAAGAGCAGTTACGAAATTAGAATTTCTATTAAGGAATAACCAAATAAATATTCCTCTAAAACATGGAAACTGAATCACATTGCTCTAAGTCCTGATTAGCAAGCAGGCATTTGATATTATAAAGCCCAGACGTCATCTGAACGGAGGGATCAGGGTGGGGAGAAAAGAAAAAAAACATCATTACAAATCAGAGGAGGCTGTTGTGCGAGATTTTAGAGACAGATATTTTCTAACAGAAAAGCAAAAATGTAAGCATCATCTCTGCTTGCTTTCCTTGTTTAGCAATTGAGAAAAAGAGTGGGTATATCAAGGAATAAAGAAAAAAAATGAACACCCCCTCCTCTCCCATCACCTTTTGTACAGCTTGGCAGAGTTTATGAAAACACTGAAAAAAAAAGTGGGTCTTAACTGCTTTGCTCAAACTCAGGGAAGGTGGTTATTATTCCAGCACCATCTATTTCCCTCCCTAGCTTCCAGGCATTTGGCCTGGAAAGAAAACATCAAGTCAAGAAACTCTACTTCTGCCTCCGAACTAATTGGATAAAATCTGCATGCAGAAATGAGCCAGGTCCAAAACAATCCAATGGCACCTCAACTCAGGATTAGCTCATTATTTTCTTCTACACCATGAGACTGATTTAAAAATTTCCTTAGAGGAGTGACAAATAAGGGAACTCTGTACTTCATGCTTCTTGTCCCAGGAATACTTGGAAGACAAGGGCTGGCACCACTGCCAAAAGGGGCTGAACTCCCCCCAGCACTGGATGTAGCCCTGGCAGCGCTCCCTTCCTCTCTCACCCCAGCACAAACGCCTGTGCAGCAAACAGGATTAAACCAAACTGGGGAAATTCTTCAGACAAGTTTGCGAGTGATAGAACAGAACAGAATAGAATAAAAGATAAAATAAAATAAAAGATAAAATAAAATAAAATAAAATAGAAAGAGGCCTGTGCTGACTCTAGGCTAAAAGGGAGGAAAAGATGGAAAGGATGGACCAAGAGTACAGCTCCACTTGTAACATTTCCATGTTACAGCATGCTGCTGCTTTAATACACGCCAAGGGAGTCTGACCCAAGCCTTTCACTGAGACCACCTAAGACCAAAACTAGCAAGAGGGCTAGGGAAAATGGTATCTTTTTAAATCTGAGGCAGCCACACAATTTGCCACATCTCTAGCCTTGCAGGATTTTCAGAAGTGTAGGGATGGCAGATAGAAAGCTTGGGGAAGCCTTTTGCTTGATTTTAGATGATGAAAAATGTGCTGTATCTCCTAGGCTACAAAGGAGAAGAGAGGCTTGGAGGTGGAACAGGGAGGGAGAAGGGAAGTATTTTGCTGCGTAATTGAGGGTGAGGGCAGGACACAGCACGCAGAGTAAACCAAAGATTATTCACTCTTTATTTGTGTTCAGTCTGGGGGCCCATACAGAACTCAATTTCAGTCTTAATGATTTTCATTCTACCCAAGAATGTAGGGGAAATATTCCTTTTTCTTGAAGGCTTTGGATCATGCTACATATCTCCAAATTTTGATGAGCACTTTTTAGAAAAGCTCTGCTCACTTTGGAGAGTACAGCAAAGGAGATGCAAAATAAATTAATACAGGCCTCAAGGCACACCAATATAGGCTTCTTTTACAATTAGTATAACGAATAGAAGAGGAAACAAACAGTTTGTCCAACCAGCGTCCAAATGAAAGCTGTCCAAGCATCTCCTCCTACATGGTAAGACACAGAAAATCCTTAGCACACCAATGAACACAAAAAGTTGTGCTGAATCTCAGAGCAACATGATTTGAAACATTAAAGAAAAGCAAAACACTTCTGGGGGATAATCAGAATTATTATCTGCCAGGACCAGCCTTTTCCTGCAGGCAGCACGAGCTTCCACAAACTGCCACTTTTCACCAAAAACCCATATCCCCCTCCTAGTGTTACGTATATATCAGCAGTGTAGTTATGTAGCCTTGTGGAAAAGTCACTTTCTTTTTGTAAAGGAGTATTTTGTGAAACAATGTGGCAAGCAGCATAACTAGACATCATTTGCGTGTTCGCTCTCATGACATTGTCTGCTTCATGAGACAACCTCTATTTTCCTCATCAGCTTTCAGATGTGTTTTTGTCAGTTCATACTGGGATCAGAATTAAGTTTATTACTACTGACAAAAGAGAAATCACTGAAAGCAGACATGGTAAATGCTTTTTTCTCAACCCTGCACTCCCAAATCCATCAGCACTCACCAACTTCAAGGGTCTCTGAATCAAATGCATTGTGAATAATCCTAGATGGGAACCCACAAAACTCCTGATTGTTCATTGAAGCAAAAACTGTTCAGTTTACTCACCATTGAAAACAGATAATAACATGACTGAAAGCATAAAAACAGCCACATACAGAGGGTGCTGGTCTGATATATGTTGCAGTTCATACGAGTTTCACCCAGCTGGAGGAAGTGGCTGGTTGAAGTCATAAGTGGTCTTACATACTTTTCAAATGCCAGTAGATGCAATTGAGTTTATGGCACTCAAACACAGAAGAAAATCTACATAATTATGAACATCTGTCAGTTTTCTATTAGCAACATGCTTCTGCTGCTGTTTTTTCAAACCTCAAGTAGAAGCAGGCATTCCTGGTGCTTGGGCTGCTATTTTACTTGGCAAAAACTAGGAAGATTAAGTTTTTCATGTTGAACAGTTTACAAAGGAATATGTCTGGATCAGGATGTGTAACCAGTAAATGAGCTGGATCCACTTTGAAAAGAAAGTGTTTGTTAGTCTCTTCAGAGTAATAGCCTGCTTTTTTAATCTGTTTCAATGTCAGTCATGCTTATGTCACACTACATCATACCACACAGATTTGGGGCCATGAATTGGTCCAAAAAGTTCTTTTCAGTAGTAGGTTACTAGGACTCTGCTCTAGCAATCTCAAGCTACCCTTTACGGACTGGTTGAGGATTCTGTCACCCAGAACTCTGCTGACACTGCTGTTTGAACAAATCTATGGAAGCACACATGTTCAGTTTTTAATAGAGTGCATGCAGCATATTCCACCTATTCCCATCACCTAAGGTTTGTAACCTTACTAAAACCAAAAACCAACTAACCACAAAAACCTCCAGCTGACCGAAACCAAGAAACCCCTTCTAGAAGCAACACTGAACAGAAGGAGAAAAACAATATCCTACATGCTGAATTCACACAGCCAGTTTATAAAGGAACTGCACATCTTAACTTACATAAAGTAATCCTTTACTGTGCAATGCCAGATTACATATAAAGAGCCCTTATCCTCTGAACCTCTGAAAGCTTTCCAACAATAAAACATTTAAAGTTTAAGGGAAGCTTATAGGCTTGTTCTTACACAGAGACAAAAGCCTCCCTGTTAGCCTGAAACCATCCCTTTTCTAAGTGAGGTCCCAGATAGCTGGCACATGATATGAAAAAGCCTTGTCATCAACAGGCTTGGGGAGAGAGAGCTGAGGGCAGAAAGAGAGAGCTCCCAACAAAATCTGCCCTTGCTACAAGTCCAGACACACCCCTGGAATACAGCAAAGGAAAAAAAAACACCAACCACCAACACTATTAGAAAACTTATACTAAGACAATACTATTCTAGTGGTTTGTCCTCCCACGCAACAGTGCCAAAACTTGGAAAGAGGACAGGGGCTATGGGAGAGGCACTCTGCATTTTTTCATGTCAAAGTCACTTGGTTTCTAAAACAGTTACTGGAAAGCTTCCGCACATGCAGGATGTAAATAAGGATCACTAGGTCCCTCTGTGAAAGGAGTCCAAAAGTAGTTTAGTAGTTTCAAAACAAGAATGTTTGTCTGCACCATTAAACTTGTTCCTGTCTAAAAACACGTCTGCCCTT